CTAGTTCATTATCAGAGTTGTAGTCCGATTTAGGTTGATTCATTTGTATCTTCTTAATAGCTTTGTATGCTAATATTACATTGAATTAGTAAAACTGTTATCAAGCACAACTCTTAGAACATACAGAAACGTGATACACAAACTATATTATATACAAAATGGATACAACAAAAAACACTTTAATACTGACCCACTGATATCTTTGGAAGAACCATCTTCTACATTATACACTAGAATATAATGATCACACAAATTGAATACAGTGATTTAGCATCAGAATCAGCAGAGAAAACTTAGAAACATTTCAGCAACGATTTAATTATCATTGGAACTTCCACCAAGAAAGAATATCATATCCAAAGGATGAATATTATGAAAAAGAATTATCAGAAAATGATGACATAATTAAACAACAGTATATATACGATATCCAACTTGACATTCAAGCAACAATAGAAACATTGTTAAGAAGACTTAATCCAACCAATAACCATAGACTAGAATTAATACTAGTACTACTACAAGCAGCAAATGAAACAGGTGACTACATCACACAACCAGAAAAAGTGCCTAGATCATTTTTTGGAAAAGCAGTCCGAGAACAAGAAAAGACAGCATTACAAATATCTGACTACTTCAATTATTTTAAAGCAACACTATCAGGAATTTGTAGACATTTTGACATAGAAAATGCTGATAACAACTATATTCCAAACCCAATAGGACATATATTGCATAAAGTGATATTTAGTATTAATATATTATTAATCACTGAAAGAGCATTTGTAGAAGTAGAACAAAGAGAACATATTCTCTTAGAGCATTTAGATCGATGAATATTTTTAACGCCACAAGTTTACAAACACTATTGAAACAAAGCAATACAGTGGCCAGAAAGATCAGGTGAACCAATTCATGTAAAAGAAGAAATTAATGGATACTACCCTATTAAACTAACAAAAATAATAGAAAAAATAGCCCCATTACATTATTATTTACAAATCACGTTGCAAGATGAAGAAACTGAAATACAGCAAGAACACTCGAAAATGACAGAATTAATTACATTATATAAAAATAGAAAGTATATTGAACTCCTAAAATTAGGATCTTATATTGACCAAAAATTACAATATACGCCAACACAATATTGGTATCATAAGAAAATAACAAAGTACCAATTCTCGACTAAGAGAGACAGGGAAATTTACAAAGAACTCAAACGAGACTTTGAAAATTATACTAGCAAGCTTAGACAAATTAAAAACTTTGGATATATGTTAGGATTAAACGATTAAAATGGAACAACAAGTTACAACAATACTATTCGTAAATATTATCGAGCCAAAAATATTATTAGGACAAAGATTCGACAGTCAACAAGCATTTTATTTACATTTCGACAGAGTAACAACACTACAATTACCAAATGCTTATCCTGAAACAACCACAGTAATTGAAACTCAAACCGTATTAAATAAGATAATTGCACAACAATATTTACTAGAAGTAACTATAAATAAATATCCACAAAATTACGAACAAAATACAAATTTGGAAACAATAATACATACATACATATACCTATACCAAGGAGAAGAATTAGACATTAATCGACGAACTAAATTCTACTACCATTGGAGTTGGCATACCAAAGAACAAGTTACCACCTAAAGTTAACACTTGACCTATAAAGTAACATTGACAAAATATTCAATGCAATATTAGCATACAAAGCTATTAAGAAGATACAAATGAATCAACCTAAATCGGACTACAACTCTGATAATGAACTAG